AGCGGGCCTTGCATCAGCACTTGATATTTGATGTTGGCATCCCAAATGGGGGTTTAACCTGCTGTGCCAGTATATACCTGTCCTGTCAAACTCAACCTTTAATTGCATTTCCATAAATATCTGATAGCAACAAAACAAAACAAAAATCCTTGATTCAAAGTACTGCCAGCTTCTGATGAAATCTGTTCTTCTGTATGCTAAAGCTAGATTATAAGAGAAGTGGTGTGGGGTGCTGAGTAAACTCCTTGCCTGTTATCTGAGCTCACACAAGTCTGGCCATCTAATTCTCAATGTTGCTCTTTATGCATTTGGCCAATGCAAAACTATGGGGAAAATAATTATGAGGCCAAAAGTATTCAAAAATCTTTTTGGAAATGAATAAACTTGTCATTACTGATATTTGAGTAACATGGTTTTATTTCTCCTCATCAGCTTGGCTGACCTACTACGGCTATTTAAGTGTCTGTACACTAATTATCAGTGAGAAAATAAGTTGACACAATTAATATTAAGTCATGTGAAAATATCTGTCATCATTTCAAGTACACATCCCATGCAATCAGCAATGCCATTTCAGAAATCTGTTAAATAGAATTCTGCACAAATCTAAAGAGAAAATATTGTAGCATTAAAAAACAGAAAGAGGGGCTGCCATGGAGGCAGAGTGGGTAAAACTGGTGGCAGAGTGGGTAAAGCTGGTGGCAGAGTGGGTAAAGCTGGTGGCAGAGTGGGTAAAGCTGATGCCAGCATCCCATTTGGTGCCAACTTGTGCCCCAGCTGTTCCACTTCCGATCCAGTTCTCTGCTAATGCCTTGGAAAAACAGTGGAGGATGACCTGACCCCAGTGTTTGGGCTTCTAGCTGCCACCCACATTGGAGACTCAGAAAAATCTGGTTCGTGGCTTTGGCATGACCTAGCCTTGGCTGTTGTTGTCACCTAGAGAGTGAACCAGCAGTTGGAAGATCTCTCTGTCTCTTCTCTCTCTCTCTCTCTCTCTCTCTCTCTCTCTCTCTCTCTCTCCACCTCTCTGTCTGTCCACCTCTCTGTAGCTAAGGCTTCTAATCAAACAAATCTTTAAACACATAAGAAGTGGAAATAGATTATAACTTAAGTGCTCAACAAGTATATTGTAATTCATATTTTCTCTAGCACATAATGTAGCTGCTAAAATGAATAAGTCTCACCTTATAAAAACATCCAAACTGTAAAAAATTGCTTTGGCGAGGAGAGGAAAGTTTTTATGCAGGTGAAAAAAAAATGAAGTTGGGCTTTCACTCTTTGGGTTTCTAATTCCGGGCTATTGGGATTGTATTACTGCGCATGTGTTATTTTGTTATATTTAAGGAGTACAACTGCTAGGACTTAAAACAGCATCTGACACTTTCAAACACTTAAAGAAGACAAAAAGTAAATAAAAATGCGATCCAGGGCCAGGCACAGTGGCCTAGCAAATGAAGTCCTTGCCTTGCACCTCCCGGGATCCCATATGGGCACCAGTTTTAATCCCAGCGGCCCCGCTTCCCATCCAGCTCCCTGCTTGTGGCCTGGGAAAGCAGTTGAGGACGGCCCAAAGCCTTGGGACCCTGCCCTCACTTGGGAGACCAGGAGGAAGTTCCTGGCTCCTGGCTTTGGATCGGTGCAGCATCGGCCATTGCAGTCACTTGGGGAGTGAATCATTAGAGGGAAGATCTTCCTCTCTGACTCTCCTCTCTCTGTATAACTGACTTTGCAATAAAAATAAAATAACTCTTTAAAAACAAATGCAATTTGTATGCAAAAAAAAAAAAAAAAAGAAAGAAAGAAAAGAGGGGCCCGGCGCGGTGGCGCAAGTAGTTAAGGTCCTCGCCTTGCACGCCCGGGATTCCACATGGGCACCGGTTCTATCCCGGCAGCCCTGCTTCCCTTCCAGCTCCCTGCTTGTGGCCTGGGAAAGCAGTGGAGGATGGCCCAAAGCTTTGGGACCCTGAACCCACGTGGGAGACCCGGAAGAGGCTGCTGGCTTCGGATCAGCGTAGTATCGACCCGTTGCGCTCACTTGAGTGAATCATCGGACCATTGTGTCAGCAGGTCTTGGTAGTATGATTGGGGCCAGGACTGTGAGACCTGGACAGAATAGGAGAAATCTCCACAGATGGGGGCTGGGACCATTAGGAACTCTCAGCAGATGTCTGTCTCAAGAATAGGGCTATGCAGGAATCCATAGTGGATCCAGAATATAGCAAGGGTCATGAAAATCCATCAATCTGATCAGTCTGTGTTGGCACTGAGTACATACCTATCAAAACTGAGTTTGATGGTAAACCAAACCTGATGGCAATAGGGCTCATGAGACTGTTGGGGAGTGCTCAAAAACACGCGTCTGGGAGAGTAACCTGATCAAGCACCCAGAGCTTAGCATGACTCAATTACAAGAGACAAAAGACTCCTTCTAGTAGCCCCACTATTCTTATCTGAAACACGGCCATAGCAACTTTCAGTAGCCAGCTCCAGACTGCCGGGGCAACCTCACCTACATTGGCATGTAGCAGCAAGATCAATATTGCCCTTAGTCCCAATTCAATAGGGTGGCATGGTGACCGTAGTTCCCAGATGTTGCTGGTAGTATTGAGAAGAGGCTGTGGACAGTACAGTTCTGCTCAGGGCTCTAGGCGTGCTGGCCAGGTGTGTCTGGACAACAGCAGCAAAGACAGTGTGTAGAGGATATTCCCAATTTTCCTGAAAGAAAGCTAAGTAAGATATTTTGCCAACACATTTTGGGATCTGCTGGTTGTTCTCACAAAGCTCACACAGAGCATTGCAGTGGTGAAGTGGCCTGGACATTGGTTAGAGCTTAAAGGGCCAGAATGCATTTCAGGACCTGAAGCGCTCTGGACTGGGGGTGCTTGGCAGGGATGGATGCCCAAGAGCTGCATCTGCCAATGACTTCCATCAACTGTCCCGAGGCCCTAGGCAAAAGTGGGTCCTTCTGCTTAATGCAAGCAAAATAAGACCCAGGAGAAAAGGGCACAGCTTCTACTTCCCAACTCCCTGGAGAGAGGAGATGGGCTACCTCTGAGGGTCCCTGGGGGTCTCAAGATGAGGCTGCATGGGGCATCAAGGAACTTGCGGCCATTCAGGGCAGCTCCATAGCCTGTTCTTTGTAACAGCTGTCTACATTCTTTCTGTTTCTCCTAGTCTGAGCACATTCATTTGTTCATTCCAGATCACACTGCCTTCTCCCAAAGTTCCTTTCTCATGTGGATCCAGTGACAGGTGTTCCTTGCTCTTCTTTGTTCCCTCATGGTTTCTTCTCCTGTTTTATTGCTGAAACCTCTGTGGACATGACTTAGGCTCAGTTATGGCTGTCACTTGTGCAGTATCAAGTTCCTGACCCCACAGCTTTGGTTGCCTGAAGCAGAAAACCATGGTGTGCCTTTTCTTATAGTGCCTTCACTGGTAGAAACCAAAATGCATCGGCAAGGAAGTCCATGAGATGTCACTTGTGGGACTCTAGTTCTCATCTCCATTCTAAGACAGAGCAAACCTTAGGGCAAGGCTAGGCAACAGGGAATTATAGATAACCAATGCCTGCTAGTGTTGTCTGACCATTGGCACCATTGGTGGTAATACAGAAACATATCTCAGAGGTTTGTGGGGATTGCCTGAATGAATAAACCTAGTGATTATCGCATGTCTGAATTTGGGGCCTCTGGCACACTTGACCTGAGCACAAGGACTTCCTTCAGTGTGTATTCTACAGCCCCCCAACACTTTCACCTAGAGGGGATTGGATAGCATCTTAGAGTAGCACAGAAGGGTCTGTTGATTGTTGTGTCTCAAACATTCCTGTCCCATAGACTATCCTACTATTTCACCCATTTCCTTCCTACCTACACTTGTCCAGGCACAGGTGGCCATTATTCTCTCTGCAAGTGTCTAGTCTAGGTTCAAATCTCCTAAACATCTTCCCTTTAGGGCAGCAGTTCCGGTGGGAAAGAAACTGACTGCCGTCTTCTACAATGGTAATCTCTCATGTTCAGCCATTCTCCTTGGGACATGAACTCTGCCTGCCCCTAACATAGGTGACGCCCAGGGGAGGTCTTCAGTTCCACGTTGATGCCCCTCTTCACCTCCTAGGCATGCACGGGAACATTCTATGCTTTGGGGTATCCCTGGCTGTCTGGACCAAGGGTAATGCAAAACCATCATAGCTTTAATCTGGCGCATTCTCAGGGCAGCCCCCTGGACACTGTACCATCCCACCAGTGTGATTTTGCTGTGCATGCATTCTTAGCACAGCTGTAAATGCAGAGACCATCCCACCAACGGGCATTTACTGCACAGTCGGCATTCCTCTATACTAAATGCCACAGATGTGAACAGAACTGTCAGATCTAGAGCTCAGACATCAGGTCGACAGACAGACCAGTCAGTGGACGGAACATTATCTCCCCCTCTAGTTTCAAATACACAAAAATCAAAGAGTCTTTATTCCACTGCAAAGTTTCTAATTTTACAATATCTGACTAAGATAATCCTGCAAAAACATCTTTGCTGTTTATTTATACTCATGATGTGCAGCTTCGAGAACTTTTTGTGAAGCTGTTATCTGAATATAGGTATAGAGTGAGACTAGGGCACCGATTCCACATGCCACCTCAAAGGGAGGGGTGTGATGTCACTCCCCATCAGTCTGCTGATCTGGGATCTGAAGCAGCGTGTTAAGGAGCAGAACATGAGTTGAAAGGAATGACAGAGAAGACAGCGCCGTGTAAGGACCGTGTCCTATGTAGAGGAGGCAGCTACCAGAGCTACTGTTTATCGCCTACATACCAGAGGGATTCCTGTCACGGGGACAAGTTCAAAATGGCTACTTGAATGTGAGCACCAGTTCTTGGTCAAGGGACCCAGGGTCTCTGGCCGAGAGATTCTAGAGATGCTGTGCAGCACACAAGGGAATGCCACAGCTGCCCATGGAGGCAGTGATGATCCCTGTGTGGGTGGCAGGACATGTGTGTGCAAAGCAAAGGGGACTGAGCCAAGATGAGGCGACTCTCATGTTTCCAGATTTTGACCCTGGGCCACAATAGAGTCATGGCCTTTCTTGTTTGAATGTCTCAGGGCATAAAACCAAACCTGCCTACCGGTTTCAGAAGAAAACCTGAAACCCAGGTGCTTGTGTTAATCATCTATGCATTTTTGACAATAAACAACATAGACAACAAAATAGATAATCGATATAGTTGATGAAACATAGCCAATTTATTAAGTTATCCAGACTTTTTCCACTAGAACCACATACTGTTCTGGGGACCTGAGAGGGAAAGAGAGAGAAATCCAATGAGAATCTTGGTCAGGTCCTGCTGACAGCTGAGTCTGAAGGGACTGCCGGTAGTGGCAGAGGCTAGAGCCAATGTGAGCTCCTTCAGACTGCCGTCTGAGTTACTAAGAGGAAACAGACGCTACTGAAGAATTCTAAGTCAGGCATCCTGCAAACACTCTCACTGAAGAGTCCATCCATGATACGGATAGATCTTTGTATGATGTTGTATCATATTTTATGAGATGCAGATACATATTTGCAGGACAACTAAGAGGGAAATTACGTGTTCAACGACAAATATTTGAAAGGAAACCCAAGATCTAGGGGCAGATCTGGTCCCTCATCCCAAGTTCTCATCCATGTCTCCACATAACAGCAATGGGACTCTCAGAGAGTCCCTGAGAGGACATGAGGGAGAAAGTCTTGTTCATTCACAACACCACAACAATCAATACACGCATCACTCGTTCCAGCATGTCAGACCTTTCCTACCTTCATAGATGATCGTTAGCACTTTAAATAAAATTCTGGTGGATGATAAGAGCCACCCTCTGCTACCACATGTCTGACTGGGTGGTTCCTCAATAGAACCACCCTGAGGGTGGAGGCTGCTACATGATGGCTCCTTCTGAAGTGAAGACTTCGAAAGCTGGTAGGAAGTTACACTTCCACTAAAGGACGGACAATGGTTCTTCACGACAAAACCTGGAAAGAGGAAAACATCCCTCAGAAGACTCACAAGTGCCAATGCCATGGGCAGGGTCTGAGGGGCACCCAGGGAAGCAGTGGCACTCTAGGGAGCTACCATGGCAAACCTACACTATCCTCAATACACAGAGATGTTTCTACCGGCTCTACCTGGAGAAATGGGAGAATCCATAAAGGAGAGGCATGGATATCGTGGGCCAATGGCTATTGGAATCTGCCTGAAAGATCAAGAGAAGGTAAGCGAACTAGTCAGGAAATACTCACTTCCAAGAAGCACATCAGAAAAGAAATATTGATGTGTGTTAAAGACCCTGGGCCACGCAGACAGGGGATCAATATCCTGGTAGTAAGCTTCCGTGAGCATGAGCCAGTGAGGCCCCCTCACAAAGATGTCACAGGAGGGGATAGCAGATTTCTTCAAGGCAGTCTTCTGGGATGTTCTATGGAGGGACAAAGGGAAGGAACGTTACTAAGGACGGATGCAAGGTCTCCCTAGCATTAACAGCGCACAGGAGAACAACAAAACAAAACAAAACAAAACCAGCACACCAGAGAAGAGCCCCTTGATCTCTCTACAGTGCCCCGGGGTCCAGACCAGGCCCTGTCAGGTTGAAGTAGAGGAAACAAGGTTGGCGGCTGAGACAGGACTCAGCCTCTTGTTATGGAGACAACACAGAATCTGTGAGGTCAGAAATGCTACAGGAGGGGACATGCATCCTGGGCCACCAGGGGCAATGGTCCAAGGAGGAGGGCTGAGACATGGAGGGCACTATGCCAGGCTAGAGAGCAGGGGATTCTGAGAGATGTGGGTGACCTGGGATAGGCTGTGGAATAGCCTAGACCTCAGCTGGGAAAAGGGACCTCCTGGACCCATGGTGGATGACAATAATACCCACATCACACCCTAACCCAATACACCAATCTCAACGTGAACATCCCTGCCTTTGGTGAGCCCTAACTATACAGAAGTGCACATCTAGATGGCAGCCACAGACACCCTTGCACACTTACCCGTGTTGGACACCACTACAATCTCCAGACACGTCCCCCTCCTCCACAACCACCTCCTCATCAGGCAGTGCTTCGCTCGAGGTGTCACCTTCCTGTTCTGCCTCCTTGTCTGCCTTAGGACTGCAGGGTTCAGATGCTGCAAAAAGCACACATGCGGCAAGGTCAGGACAAGAAGAAAAATGGAAACAAAGGTCTCACCATTTGTTTTGCACCCTCTGGCCTAGACTGTCAAGTCACCCCTGTCAGAGGAGAGCCTTCTTCCGTGACCAGCCTCACGCCTCCGCCAACCACCAGAGGGCCCCCTATTGGGCATTGCATAATATACCTGTTAAGCAGAATCCCATGTCAAATAGACTGGGCACTCAGGGCCAAACTAGGACCCAGGAGGATAGCTGGCTGATCCAACAGGGTTGCCCTCGATTGACCAGCTGGCCAAACAGGGCTCCTGGACTCTGGCAGGAGGCCTTGGTGGGGTAAAAACCATGCACCATGGAAGACTTACCTGCAATGGTTGGCCACGAGGCTCCTGCCAACCTGGGGAACATTCCATCCCTACCTGGAGACCCAAGCTCCTTGTACACCAGGTGCCACAAGCCTCTGCATGTGGGTATCTGCTGCTCAATCCCACAGACCTAATGCCCAGGTCCCAGATGGGTGGCAAGTCACCTTTCCTCCGCCATGGGACTCCCTTCATCTTCCCACCTGTCAGGGTTCCCTCTTGTAGAGGAAAACATGACATAATAATACCTGGGCCAAACATCCAGTACTCAACACAATTTACTCTGTGTACCCCTATCACCATGCTGCTAAGACTAGGAGGGAAGGGGCATGGGCATAATCCCAGCTACCAGCATTGGGACTGTAGGTCTAGGCATACCCAAGGTTCAAGTCAGGTTGCAGGGCTAAGGTTGAAGCAGCAGCATCACTGACCCAACAAGGGTGAACAGACAAGGTGGGATGTGGGTCCAGGATAAGGGGCCAGGTCTGTGTGAGATGGCCACAGATGGGGGTAACAGCTGTCACTCTGTACAACCCTAAATGCCACGGGCCAACTGGGGTGTCCCTGGGTTGGCCAATGTAGCCACTTTGGATGCTGAGACGCACCCAGTGCAGGCAGCAGCAGCAAGGCACCAGTGTTGGTTCTGCTGCGAGGATCATTCATGGAAAGCTCATAGTTTCCCAGGGGAAGACTCACCTTCAATGGCACAGGCCCAGCGCTGGGGCCTCTCATGGTACAGGCAAGAGTCCTGGCCAGGAGCCCAGGGAATTCCCAAAGTGAAGTCCACAGGGCCTGCCAGCACGGCACAATAATACACTGCTTGTTCTGTATCGAATGGCCAGATTGCAGCCTCAGTGAGGAACTGTGAGCTCTGTAGGCTGTGGACAGATTGAAAAAGAGTTACTGAGGATGACAGAGTATTTTGTGGTTGGATCCCCAGGATTCCCTGTATATCAAACCATGACCATGGACTTACAGAGCATGCTCAAAGGGTCCAAACCCAGCCCACCAGCTGGAAACCATCTGACCCACTACCGGCTTCACACAGAAGGAACATAGGAAGGTTTGTAGGCATTATGGAGATGAGGTGACCTAGGACTAGGTGGTTAGCTATGAGGCAACTCAAAGGCCAGGGTCTGCTGCAATGTCCAAAGTACCAAGGTCCTGGGCACACACGGGGCTGAACAGGTTCCAAGTCCAGATTACCAGTCAAGCCAACAGCTTTACACTGCAGCCAGCCCAAGGTCTGGCCAGAGAACTCAGACACATCAATGAGCAACTCAACTACCCGTCCCCCCTTGGCCTCACCACTACCACTCCCTGGTTGCTGACTACACTCAGTCTACATCAAAAAGGGTCACTGAAGAGGATCAGCCCGGGGTGAAGACAGGGCTCAGACAATTTTTGTGCAGCCAACACAGGATCCATGACAGAAATGTTCCAGGTGGGGGAACATGTCCAGGCCACAAAGGACATGAGTCCCAAGAAGGGGAAGACCTAGAGGTATCGGGGCTCACATTCTATGCAGACTAAAGAGCCAGCAGTTCCCAGACATGTGGGAAAGGGCTGGGAAAGGACCCTGGGATGGACTAGAGTTCACTCTGGGAAGGGCACATGGGGGAGCACAGCACTCACACCATAAAATAACACACACATCCGATCACCTCTGAACCTTGCATTCACAGATGTGCACAGCGGAGGAGCAGCCACAGCGGCCCAGGCACACTTACCTGCGCTGGGTGCTCACCAGGTGTGCAGATACAACTCCATTCTCTAGACACACACCTTCTTGCCTAAGTTCGCTGCTCAAGGTATCAAGGACTAGAAAAGAAGGCACACAATGAAAGGTCAAAGCCAAGATGTAACAAGGAAAAAAAGATCCCATCTGTCATTCATCATCCCCTGATATATTTGTGACTTTGGCTGGTGACAGTCAAACCCACAACTGGACAATCCCTGCACCATGACTAATCTCATGAAATCTGCTAGTCTTCAGATTCCAAAGTCGTCATACTGGGTTTATGGTAACATTCAGGTGTACCAAAACATACCCCCAACACTCAAAGGCTGGTCAGTTGCCTGGTGTTGGCGACAAATGAAGGAAAAAATACACCACTTATCCGAGGTACAAGCTGATCCACAAAACCTCTCAAGGGGGCTTAGAGGTTCAGCTATCAGGCCTTGGAATGCAGAGAAAAACTTACAATCACAGTCGGGTTTGTGGCCAGGCATTGCAACGGAGAGAGGTGAAGGCAGGGCACAAGGGGGACACGACTGCCAGGGTGGGTGAGCAAGGAAAGCACAAGATATCTAGCTTGGCTCAAGGGGTTTTGGGTTAACCACGAGCCTGGGCAATAACAACAAAACAGGGTGGCTGTACATTATGAAATTGCACAAACAAAGCAATGAGAGAAAACTAAATAACAAACAAAATCATGACCCAACTGAATTTAGCAGCAAGGCAGACATTCAGAGAGGCTGATATGGGTAGACAGCAATGCCACACCGTGAAATGCCAAGGCGGTGGGAACAGCACAAAACAGACATACTCAGTAGAGCAGCAGCAGGATGTGAAAAACACAGTCAATTACATTGTGAAAAACAGAGAAATCAAGAAACAGAGGAAAAGAAGACAAAGATGCCGAATATACTTACACTCATTCAAAAAAGACACAATACAACAAGAAATATAGAAATCCAAGTGCGAAGAAGAGGGAACAGAGGGAAAACTGACACACAGAGCAGAGAAACGGTAAAACTTGAGGATGAGAATCTGAAAGGAATTCAGTTAAAACGACTCACCAACACATGTATATGAACAGCAAAACGGTGTCTTGTCACTGGTGTTTGCGCGAGGGATGACACCTATGCTGGCTGCCCACTGGTACAATGTCCAGTGGGCCAGGTCTCCTGGGCCACGATACAGGTAGCATATTGCGGGAGGGTCGTAGGGAGTAGAGCCCAACCTGAGGAGAGAGGAAAGAAGGAAGACAGCTGAGCGCTGCTGAACTCAGCACTATGGCTGGTGGCCAGGGTGCCCGAGGTGCCCAGGAACCACCACCGCCAGCACTCAGCCTCCCTCTTGGGCACAAGGGCCTGGCCTCCCAAGGAAAAGCAGCGTGGCAGTGGCAAACCATGCCATTCGGGGCCTGAGACAGCCATCATGGGACACCACTGCTCCTACAGGTGCAAGCTGGCAGAAGGAGCCTGAGACCTCTGCTGGCTGTGGTCCAGCTGGGTGGGGGGTGTTTGTGCTGTGTGGTCCAGGCCAACAGGTGGGCTCCGAAGCACGGCATCCCACGTCACCCCCAAGCCCCAAGTCCCTGGCTCCCTCACGCTTGGGCACACACCTCATCGAGCCAAAAGCAAGCCCAAGGAGCCTGGCTAATGCCAACGGTCCCGCTTCTGCACACTTGGGACATGCCCAGGCGCCCAACACCAGCAACACCCAGGAACAAACATGCTAGATGCTAGGGTATCCTGCGGCCACCTTGCCCTCTGCTATGTGCATGGGACACATGCCGGCCACACCAGCTACTCGCATAATGACATCCTTCACCCACACTTCCCCGGGCACTAACATACACACTGCTACGGGCTTCACCGCCTACTTGCACACAACACATGCATGGAGATGTGACAGCAAGGACACCCCACAAGGGGTCCCGATCCCCGGGTCCTGTGGGACACAGGCAAGACAGGGAAGGCCCCAGGGCTCTTCAAGACCATGGCTGACGGCCACGGACGGGGCTCTCAGGGAGGCAGCCTGCCAAGGGCTCTGGAGACCAGCGGTGCCCCATGACACCACAGGTGCCGTGCACGTCTACAATGGGGCCTTCCTGGCACACGGCCAGCCTTTCACAGCCCACTCCCACGGCCCATTCCCCGGAAGCACAGACACACCCCACGTTCAACACAGCCTTGGCCAGCCATGTTCCATGGCCACTGCCACGAACACACTCTTACCCAGGGTCCACCTCGGTCCAGCCTGTGGCAGCTGCTGGAACTTTATCATCATTGGGGGTTGGTGGGCCCTCAGAGAGGGTGGTGTTGTCCACTGCAAAGGAGGGGCAGGGGAACTCTCGTGAGACCAAAGCACGCGAGGGTCCCCAGCGTGTCACCGTCAGCACCCTGTGGAGGGCCGTGGCCTCAGCTCACGCTCACCACCTGGGTGGGCAGCAGGCCTGCACGCTGTCCGACCTGGCACACATGGTCTCTGCCAGCCCAATGTGCTTTCCCCTCCCTCCCTCCAGCTCTCCCTCTCTGCATGGGGAGCCGGGTGCTGCCCACACCAGGAATCCGCAGCCTCGGCAAGCAGCCCTCTGCCCTTGGGGAGCACATGTGCACCGCCCCTGGGGCCTGAGGCACACTGGGAGCTTAGGTTTCCTAACCTATGGGAGGACCCTTCCACCTCCATGCAGCCAGGGCTTCAGGCAAACGCTGGCCCCAGTACTCAAGGTTGCAACCCAGCCCTGGAGCGCCCATGCAAGCACCACTGTGTCCAGCCATCCTTCGCAACGACACACACCCTGGACCTCAGGGTAAAGGGCTGGCTGTGCGACAAAGAGGGGAGCATGGGTACGACTCCCAGACAGCAGCAGCATCACACAGGTCTGCCTGGGATCACAGCAACTTCACACGTGTTCCGGGGCTTGGGCAACAGCGCCAGGAGAGGAGTGCCAACAGCACTGAGGGCCAGCTCCCCCTGTGGCAGTTGCATCACATGACTCACCCTCGACGGCCTCTGCCCAGTGAAACGGCTGGGCATCCTCACTGGTGTTCGGGCTGGAGATGATGCCCGCGCTGGCTGCCCACTGGTACACGGCCCAGGGGGAGGACAGGTCTCCTGGGCGGTCATACATGTAGCATATTCCAGGCAGTTCGTGGGGGGCCGAGCCCAGCCTGAGCAGAGAGGCCAGAAGGAAGACAGCTGAGCGCTGCTGAATTCAGCGCTATCACTGAGGGCCCAGGGAGCACAGGAACCACCACCGCCAGCACTCAGCCTCCCTCTTGGGCACAAGGGCCTGGCCTCCCAAGGAAAAGCAGCGTGGCAGTGGCAAACCATGCCATTCGGGGCCTGAGACAGCCATCATGGGACACCACTGCTCCTACAGGTGCAAGCTGGCAGAAGGAGCCTGAGACCTCTGCTGGCTGTGGTCCAGCTGGGTGGGGGGTGTTTGTGCTGCGTGGTCCAGGCCAAGAGGTGGGCTCCGAAGCACGGCATCCCACGTCACCCCCAAGCCCCAAGTCCCTGGCTCCCTCACGCTTGGGCACACACCTCATCGAGCCAAAAGCAAGCCCAAGGAGCCTGGGTAATGCCAACGGTCCCGCTTCTGCACACTTGGGACATGCCCAGGCGCCCAACACTGGCAACACCCAGGAACAAACATGCTAGATGCTAGGGATTCCTGCGGCCACCTTGCCCTCTGCTCTGTGCATGGGACACATGCCGGCCACACCAGCTACTCGCGTAATGACATCCTTCACCCACACTTCCCCGGGCACTAACATACACACTGCTACGGGCTTCACCGCCTACTTGCACACAACACATGCATGGAGATGTGACAGCAAGGACACCCCACAAGGGGTCCTGATCCCCGGGTCCTGTGGGACACAGGCAAGACAGGGAAGGCCCCAGGGCTCTTCAAGACCATGGCTGACGGCCACGGACGGGGCTCTCAGGGAGGCAGCCTGCCAAGGGCTCTGGAGACCAGCGGTGCCCCATGACACCACAGGTGCCGTGCACGTCTACAATGGGGCCTTCCTGGCACACGGCCAGCCTTTCACAGCCCACTCCCACGGCCCTTCCCCAGGCAGCACAGACACACCCCACGTTCAACACAGCCTTGGCCAGCCATGTTCCATGGCCACTGCCACGAACACACTCTTACCCAGGGTCCACCTCGGTCCAGCCTGTGGCAGCTGCTGGAACTTTGTCATCATTGGGGGTTGGTGGGCCCTCAGAGAGGGCGGTGTTGTCCACTGCAAAGGAGGGGCAGGGGAACTCTCGTGAGACCAAAGCACGCGAGGGTCCCCAGCGTGTCACCGTCAGCACCCTGTGGAGGGCCGTGGCCTCAGCTCACGCTCACCACCTGGGTGGGCAGCAGGCCTGCACGCTGTCCGACCTGGCACACATGGTCTCTGCCAGCCCAATGTGCTTTCCCCTCCCTCCCTCCAGCTCTCCCTCTCTGCATGGGGAGCCGGGTGCTGCCCACACCAGGAATCCGCAGCCTCGGCAAGCAGCCCTCTGCCCTTGGGGAGCACATGTGCACCGCCCCTGGGGCCTGAGGCACACTGGGAGCTTAGGTTTCCTAACCTATGGGAGGACCCTTCCACCTCCATGCAGCCAGGGCTTCAGGCAAACGCTGGCCCCAGTACTCAAGGTTGCAACCCAGCCCTGGAGCGCCCATGCAAGCACCACTGTGTCCAGCCATCCTTCGCAACGACACACACCCTGGACCTCAGGGTAAAGGGCTGGCTGTGCGACAAAGAGGGGAGCATGGGTACGACTCCCAGACAGCAGCAGCATCACACAGGTCTGCCTGGGATCACAGCAACTTCACACGTGTTCCGGGGCTTGGGCAACAGCGCCAGGAGAGGAGTGCCAACAGCACTGAGGGCCAGCTCCCCCTGTGGCAGTTGCATCACATGACTCACCCTCGACGGCCTCTGCCCAGTGAAACGGCTGGGCATCCTCACTGGTGTTCGGGCTGGAGATGATGCCCGCGCTGGCTGCCCACTGGTACACGGCCCAGGGGGAGGACAGGTCTCCTGGGCGGTCATACATGTAGCATATTCCAGGCAGTTCGTGGGGGGCCGAGCCCAGCCTGAGCAGAGAGGCCAGAAGGAAGACAGCTGAGCGCTGCTGAATTCAGCGCTATCACTGAGGGCCCAGGGAGCACAGGAACCACCACCGCCAGCACTCAGCCTCCCTCTTGGGCACAAGGGCCTGGCCTCCCAAGGAAAAGCAGCGTGGCAGTGGCAAACCATGCCATTCGGGGCCTGAGACAGCCATCATGGGACACCACTGCTCCTACAGGTGCAAGCTGGCAGAAGGAGCCTGAGACCTCTGCTGGCTGTGGTCCAGCTGGGTGGGGGGTGTTTGTGCTGCGTGGTCCAGGCCAACAGGTGGGCTCCGAAGCACAGCATCCCACGTCACCCCCAAGCCCCAAGTCCCTGGCTCCCTCACGCTTGGGCACACACCTCATCGAGCCAAAAGCAAGCCCAAGGAGCCTGGCTAATGCCAACGGTCCCGCTTCTGCACACTTGGGACATGCCCAGGCGCCCAACACCAGCAACACCCAGGAACAAACATGCTAGATGCTAGGGTATCCTGCGGCCACCTTGCCCTCTGCTCTGTGCATGGGACACATGCCGGCCACACCAGCTACTCGCGTAATGACATCCTTCACCCACACTTCCCCGGGCACTAACATACACACTGCTACGGGCTTCACCGCCTACTTGCACACAACACATGCATGGAGATGTGACAGCAAGGACACCCCACAAGGGGTCCCGATCCCCGGGTCCTGTGGGACACAGGCAAGACAGGGAAGGCCCCAGGGCTCTTCAAGACCATGGCTGACGGCCACGGACGGGGCTCTCAGGGAGGCAGCCTGCCAAGGGCTCTGGAGACCAGCGGTGCCCCATGACACCACAGGTGCCGTGCACGTCTACAATGGGGCCTTCCTGGCACACGGCCAGCCTTTCACAGCCCACTCCCACAGCCCTTCCCAGGCAGCACAGACACACCCCACGTTCAACACAGCCTTGGCCAGCCATGTTCCATGGCCACTGCCACGAACACACTCTTACCCCGGGTCCACCTCGGTCCAGCCTGTGGCAGCTGCTGGAACTTTGTCATCATTGGGGGTTGGTGGGCCCTCAGAGAGGGCGGTGTTGTCCACTGCAAAGGAGGGGCAGGGGAACTCTCGTGAGACCAAAGCACGCGAGGGTCCCCAGCGTGTCACCGTCAGCACCCTGTGGAGGGCCGTGGCCTCAGCTCACGCTCACCACCTGGGTGGGCAGCAGGCCTGCACGCTGTCCGACCTGGCACGCATGGTCTCTGCCAGCCCAATGTGCTTTCCCCTCCCTCCCTCCAGCTCTCCCTCTCTGCATGGGGAGCCGGGTGCTGCCCACACCAGGAATCCGCAGCCTCGGCAAGCAGCCCTCTGCCCTTGGGGAGCACATGTGCACCGCCCCTGGGGCCTGAGGCACACTGGGAGCTTAGGTTTCCTAACCTATGGGAGGACCCTTCCACCTCCATGCAGCCAGGGCTTCAGGCAAACGCTGGCCCCAGTACTCAAGGTTGCAACCCAGCCCTGGAGCGCCCATGCAAGCACCACTGTGTCCAGCCATCCTTCGCAACGACACACACCCTGGACCTCAGGGTAAAGGGCTGGCTGTGCGACAAAGAGGGGAGCATGGGTACGACTCCCAGACAGCAGCAGCATCACACAGGTCTGCCTGGGATCACAGCAACTTCACACGTGTTCCGGGGCTTGGGCAACAGCGCCAGGAGAGGAGTGCCAACAGCACTGAGGGCCAGCTCCCCCTGTGGCAGTTGCATCACATGACTCACCCTCGACGGCCTCTGCCCAGTGAAACGGCTGGGCATCCTCACTGGTGTTCGGGCTGGAGATGATGCCCGCGCTGGCTGCCCACTGGTACACGGCCCAGGGGGAGGACAGGTCTCCTGGGCGGTCATACATGTAGCATATTCCAGGCAGTTCGTGGGGGGCCGAGCCCAGCCTGAGCAGAGAGGCCAGAAGGAAGACAGCTGAGCGCTGCTGAATTCAGCGCTATCACTGAGGGCCCAGGGAGCACAGGAACCACCACCGCCAGCACTCAGCCTCCCTCTTGGGCACAAGGGCCTGGCCTCCCAAGGAAAAGCAGCGTGGCAGTGGCAAACCATGCCATTCGGGGCCTGAGACAGCCATCATGGGACACCACTGCTCCTACAGGTGCAAGCTGGCAGAAGGAGCCTGAGACCTCTGCTGGCTGTGGTCCAGCTGGGTGGGGGGTGTTTGTGCTGCGTGGTCCAGGCCAACAGGTGGGCTCCGAAGCACAGCATCCCACGTCACCCCCAAGCCCCAAGTCCCTGGCTCCCTCACGCTTGGGCACACACCTCATCGAGCCAAAAGCAAGCCCAAGGAGCCTGGCTAATGCCAACGGTCCCGCTTCTGCACACTTGGGACATGCCCAGGCGCCCAACACCAGCAACACCCAGGAACAAACATGCTAGATGCTAGGGTATCCTGCGGCCACCTTGCCCTCTGCTCTGTGCATGGGATACATGCCGGCCACACCAGCTACTCGCGTAATGACATCCTTCACCCACACTTCCCCGGGCACTAACATACACACTGCTACGGGCTTCACCGCCTACTTGCACACAACACATGCATGGAGATGTGACAGCAAGGACACCCCACAAGGGGTCCCGATCCCCGGGTCCTGTGGGACACAGGCAAGACAGGGAAGGCCCCAGGGCTCTTCAAGACCATGGCTGACGGCCACGGACGGGGCTCTCGGGGAGGCAGCCTGCCAAGGGCTCTGGAGGTCAGCGGTGCCCACCCAGCCAGAGGTGCCATGCAGGTCTACAATCCAACTTTCAAAACACACTGTCGGCGTTGAGTAGCAAATTCCAATGGCCCCAAAACACTGACACTTGAGACACCCCACATTCCACTCAGCCCTGGCCAGCCATGTTTCATGGCCACAGCCACTGCCACACACACACACACACTTACCCGGGCTCCACCTCGGTGTGGCCTGTGCCCACTGTTGCCTTTTGGTCATTGCCAGCCTGTTGCCCATCAGAGGCGGCGACGGTGTCCACTGTAAAGCAGGGGCA